AATATGGGACTTGAGAGGCTCAGTGGTTTAGAGTACATACTATTCTTAAATAGGCAACAAAAGGCTTTTTTTTTTTTAAAGAAAGAACATAAAATTGGATAGGTAGATAAGAAAAGACCTGGGAGAAGTTGGGGGATTGGAAAGACAACAATTTAAAAAATACTTCATGAAATTCTCAAAGAATGATTTTTTTTAAAAAAGAAAGGTCATTTCAGTTTTGAAATATTCGAAAGAAAAGAATAATAATAATTATTATTCTTTCAATATTTCCCAGATAGAAATCTGTTGCCTTAAAAAAGAAAATACACAAATAAAAATAATTATATCAAATGGTGTAACATGGATGGAAATTACAAATAAAAGTATCTGGTGAAACGAGCAAGCACTAAGCAATATGTATTTAACCATTGTTTATAATCCTCAACAATGAACAAAATATTATTTTATTTCCTTCTTTTGAAACAGGGTGTGACTAAGCACCTCTGGCTGGCCTAGAACTCACACAGAGCTACATGTCTCTCCCTACCTTCTGAGTCCTGGGATTAAAGGCATGTGCCACCACACCTGTCTTGGTTTCATAATTTTTTAAAGAAAAGAATAGTAACAACGCATCTCTACTTTGTGATTATATTTGTTTTAATATAGGGCAAGAAGATGATAAAGATGAAAGGACTACCACAACAGTTACTCACTATTCGGTTTGAGATATAAATTTGGAGTAATCTGCTTGCCCCCAGCTGTAACACCCAGGAGAGCAGGCCCTGCACCGCTCGTGGGCCGCACAATAGAGCCGACTCCACTGGCAGAGGTGTGGGTGAGCCAGCCCCAAAGTTATGAGCATGGGAGAGCTGTCCCCATTATTCATTTGTCATGTGGTAGGCAGGAGGGAGATTCCTGTCATGCCACCCTGGTAGTCCATCAATGCCTCAGGCAGATGGGAGTGCTGGCCCTGCCCCTTGTTAGCTGCAGCACTATGGAGAATGGCAACATAGTGGAGCTGACTCTGAAGGTGTAGGTGTGGGAAATCTGACCCTGAGGAAATGAAAGCAGGACAGCTGGCCCTGCCCCTTGCTCATCACTTCAAGTGGTGAATTCACCAGGACAATACAGGTGAACTCACCCTGGAGGTGAGGAAAAGGTAGAGCTGGCGAACTGACCAACCTTGCAACTACCCAGGTACAGAACCAGGGTTATGTGTTGGGCTACCCCAACATCCACCCCATCTGGGATCTCTTGCAGCATGTGAAGAGATGTGTCCTGTAGACCCAAAGTTGCAGCATTTCCACAACACAGAGCAATAGCAGGAAGTTCTAGTGAGGGCCCATCTCAAAAGTATTGCAGAAACCAGAGGCCTCAAACCAGACCAATGACTCTCTGAAATGAACACTTGCAAGTAGAGATATATGGATAAATAAATAGGTTTACTCACTGTCACACTACAGTTTTCATGACAAGACTGATTTTTCCCTTTTTTTTGTTTTCTCTTAAGTTTAATTTTATTTTATTTTGGTGGGGAGGTTGTAAAGCTAGAGAGTGGATACTAAGTGATGGGAAATGAATGGGATGGAGATACATGATGTGAAAGATATAAAGAATAAATGAAAAGATGGAAAAATAAATTTGGGGTAAATATGTCAAGTCCAGTAAAAACGATGGTGCAATCACCAACATAATACATCATCCTGAAAGTACTATCAGTAGCAAGTCTAAAACATGATTTCATATTAAGAGACACTAAAAGATTATCCAATTCCTGTTATTTTCCCATCATTCATAGTCTTTAAAAATAATGGAGGATATTCTATATCTGTCTGTTGGACACCTTTCTATCCTGTCTGTAAGTCTATCAACTTGCTATAATTTATTGATTTTTATAGAGTATATTCCAAAAACAAAAATGAACATCTTTTTCTGTAAAATGCTGGTATAAACCTTAAAACATTTCAAACTCCTGATGGTATATATTTTATTCTTCTTCTGGGCAATTATCCCAATGGGGAAATACATGGATCACCTTAAATCCCAGGACACATGTTAGAGCTTTAAAGGTAGGGGGTGACACTTTTAATAAGTCATATCAACTTTGGTGCAGATTGAGGTAATGAGGTATTATGATGATTTAACTATCAATATGGATGTTTTCTTCTGTCTTCAGTGCATCTGAGTGCCACAGCTGGAGAGGCTCAATGCAACAGTTTTACATGTCACTTTTTCAAGATAAAACACTCTGGAATCCAAAATTGGATTGAAAATGTACTTAGCATAACTGTTAAATTTAACAGTTTGGAACTTTAACTTGATTTGAAATACAACAACAACAAAAAAAAAAAATTAAGGTGGGCGGTAGTGTTGCATGCCTTTAATCCCGGTGGATCTGTGAGTTTGAGGCTAACCTGGTCTACAGAGTGAGTTCCAGGAAAAGCTCCAAAGCTACACAGAGAAATCCTATCTCAAAAAAAGAAAAGAAAAGAAAAACCATTAAAAAGCAAACTCTTCAAAAGAGTAGAAGGAGCGAGTAATTACCTTCACACTGTTTCTGTCTGACTGAAATCCCAAGTTGAATATAAATAATGCATTTTAAATATTTAAAATATCGTTAAGAAGCAAATGTTTTAATATATAAGTTTATCTCTTAAGCATGGATCAGGAAATTCTATGTGTCAGATACAGGAAAATACAGGAGCACCATACAAACTGAGAGGATAATATGCAGTTTAACAAAGTAATACCTTATCAGAATAGAGTATATGACATGGAAGCTATGATATTTAACAGTAGCTTCATATTGGAAAAGAAGCAATGGCCTCACATAAGTCATTAACACTAATATGGCATTATTCTGAAGCAAAAACTGGAAAATATCCACCATCAAGCATTAAGAGGAAGGTGTAAATAATTTTGCTGCTTGGATGGAAAATAATAATCTTCCTTTGAAGGATCAAAACTTAAGTTTATATTACAGATGATAACAAAGCATAACATCTCAAGAACCATGGAAGACACAAACACTCACAAAGGTTGCCCAATAATCAAAAGCAATAAGAATTTCCAAGAACAATTCCTATAATAGACGAGTTCACAAAAATATCTTACATGCCATGTAAGAATAGTTGTTGCTATTAAGAACACATAATAAGTTGCAACAAATACTTAAATTCATATCTTATGATAAACAGATACTAGAAAAATTATATAGGTAATGGAAAAAATGGGCAATTTTATAAGGTGTGTTTAATTTGAGCATATGTATTGCCAGTATTATTTGAATTTGGTAACTAGTTTTTTACTTAAGAAATAAGATGGTTTAATTGTAACATTCAATAATTTATGCACTATTACTATATAGTAAACATAATTTTTACAAGCCACGGTCAAGATTTCATTAAGAGGCCATTTGATGATATGGAAGAGAGCTCTATTCAGAAAGTTAACCAACAATTTTTCATTTGGAGAAAAAACATGAATAATAAATTATTCCCTCATTTGCATATATTTTTCTTTTTGCTGTTTTTATGAGCTGGAAATTAAACCCAGGGTCTTCTAGATGTAAATTCTTTCCCCACTGTGCTACACTCTCAACCATCCACAGGGAAAGATGACTGGAATTAGGGAGCTTTGGGGAGGCAATGTGGAAACCTTGTTCAGTTGAAACTTCTGGAACCTATGAGGGTGACCATATCAAGGACTCTTAGTAATGGAGGATACCGGCCATCTTCTCTATCTTGGCAAGGCATCCAGTAGTGGGACTGGGACAGCAACCCAGGCACAAATCTTTTGACCTGCAATCTATCCTGCCTCCTAGATGTGCTGGGGCAATGGTGGCACAAAACTTATGGGAATGGCCAACCAATGACTGTTTTAATTTGAGGCCCATGCAATAAGAGGGAGCCCATACACAATATTGTCTAGATGGCCAGGAACTATAAGCTGGATGGCCCAGATAAAAAGGGCAGAATCAAACAGGACTGAGAAAAAAGTCAATGAAATGATTCCTAACGATATTCTCCTATATGGTAGACTGGTGCCTATCCCAATCACATCAAAGAGGCTTCCTCATGCAACTGATGGGAGCAGATATAGAGACCTACACACAAACATTAGGCAGAGCTCAGGGAAACCCATGGAAGAGGGAGAGAAAGAATTGTAGGAGCCAGAGATGTCGAGGAGAACAGAAAAACATGATCCACAAAATCAACTAAGCAGGGCTTCTAGGAGCACAAGGAGATTGAAACAACAATCAGAGAGCCTGTATGGTTCTAAACTAGGTCCTCTGCAAATGTTATGATTGTTTACCTTGGTGTTCTTGTGGGACATTCAACAGTGGGAGTGGAGGTATTTTTTACTCTTTTGACTGCTCTTTGGACC